GACGGTTCATATATTATTCCCGATACACCTAGACCAGTTTTTCGATACAACAACAACAACGTTATTTGAGGCAAAGAAATGAACTTCTTGAAGGCTTGAAACATGTATGGGTATGCTAAGTTTTTTTTATAAAGTAATCACCTGGAAGTTGCGTGCCTGCAGCTTTCACTCAACAATTAAAGTTATAAAAAGTATTAGTTGAAGATTTGTCTCTTAAGTTGACTGCAAGGAACTAAACTTCATAAAGTAATTACAACTACCCTGCCTAGCAGCCTTTTCCATGATGCACACTAAACACACAATTCATGGGAGCGAGACTACATATCACAACAAAAGCCGGTGCCTGGCATGCAACTGATTATCACGGCTTGGTGCATAACATTCATATACTCAATGCAAGAGGGTGATTAATTATGATATTTCTGATGGAGGTTTGAAATATATTTGGAAGCTTAAAACTTAAACAAATTATTTATTTTGTTACTTTGACATGGTTGATTTCAAAAGAAATATTCTAATGTGAATTCATGAAAAGTGTTTATAATAAATTGAATGATGTTCATTTATTATCCTTTAAATGAGAATCTTTGCATTTAAATCTCTGGATGATGTGTCTACTGCAATATTTGTACCATGGTATCATGAGTCAAAGCCATCAACCAATCGTTGGATGGCCGTGAATATGTCGCATTGTTCTACCTATTACGGTCAATAGAGCCTAAATAAACTCTGTTCATTGAAAGGAAGAAAAGCTTATATCAAGCTTACGTGATAGTACAATAAATTTTGAAGTATTCTCCAGTCATGGGAGTTGAATTCATACTCCTAGGTGATTTTTAATTTCTGCACTGCGTTCAATTAAGCAATTTGTAAAATCTTAAATTTCAAATAGGTACCAACTTTTTCAATTTAATTCTGGAAGTGTGACGTCAGTTGAATTCTAATAGGGATCATTAATTTTTGCATCATATTTCTAAAAATCAAGTATTGCATTTTTATATTAAAAAGATTCTTTCACATCAAAAACAACAATTTTTTTCTTACAGCTTCTATAATAATTGAAGATCTCACTCGTATAACTAAATATTTTAAATTTAATGATTTTGTCATTTCAAAGACTCTTTTGATTACAGAACATTAGTTTTCACAAGTACATTCAAGAACAGTTCTGAAATAGGCATTTCCATTACCAATTATAAACGAGGTTTGCAAAATACAATTTTATCTTTGTTCCTTCGATTTTTATATCATAAATCTGTCTCACTTATTCGTTTTGGAGTTGGTCCTTTAAGTTGTGAAACCGTTTTAGATAATTTTTCCTGGCATTCATAACTGATCATTAACTTTTGCATTGTATTTATCTATGTATTAAATTAATTACCTACCATCAAACGGGGTAAAAAGGGATGGGCGGGGTAAATCGGGATGTGCATCCCACATTTCGTAGAAATGTTGTAGCAGCGAAACTAATCAAAATATTGCAAAACTAAAAATAGTGACGTAAACTTCAATATTTTTACTATCTATTATGTATAAAGCTAGTCAAAAAATCAAACATTTACTAGCTCTAAAAAATCGCTGAAAAAAGTGTGAAAAGTGCGATTTTGGAAAAGTACCTCTGCTAAGTGAAGTTAATGATCACGTGAAGTTAATGACCACGCGAAGTTAATGATCACGGGAAATCCCAATTAAAATGATGTGAAATTATGAGCCTTCCTGTAAGCTTACAGATAGGAAAAAAATGTTATAAGGCTGCTGATATGAAGCTTGCAGTGGACAAGGTTGTTGTAAATGCTCAATGGCATGTTCATGGATACAGTAATATCACATCAATAATACAGTAATATGGCATCAATAATAAGCTTTTGTTTTGCAAACAAAAGCAGGGTCATAAACGATGGCCGAAGTCACTCCAGCATTTATGACTTTGTTTACGACCCTGGCGTTTATGACCCTGGCTTTTATGACCCATTCTACATCATCTACAATGAAAGAGGAGGACTTCTGAGTATTGTTAGTAATGGATGAGTAGGCTCTGCATGCTTCAAATGTTTTGAAATGAAGTTTTATTCCCATTGTCCCGAGTAGCCCCCACCGACCGGGCTACTCCAGACAATCTCTATTTTGCCTCTGGCACCTTATGAATAGCATATGGAATTTTTTTGACAACGCCATTCCATAGCCCTGCCAATTAGCTATAAAATGAGACTAAACTTGTTTATGAAATGTTTCATCATGAGTAGTTATTAACTGTTATTTAAAACTAATTGTTCAAATCTGTCCTGAGTAGCCCTGGTTGACGGTAGATGAGTACACTCTGCTTGCTTCAAACATTTTAAAATTAACTTTTATTGCAAGTGTCCCGGATTACCCCGCTTTGAGAGGTAAATTGGGACGGTTTTATTTTGCGTCTGGCACCTTACGATTAGCATATGGAATTTTTTTGAAGATGTCATTGGATAGCCCTTGCAAAGAGCTATAAAATGAGCCTAAACTTGTTTCTGAAATGTTTCATGGCAAGAAGTTATTAACAAAAAACGCTCAAATCCGTCCCTTTTTACCTCGTTTGATGGCATAATTGCATGTGAAAGGGGAGAATACCTTTGTACCTTGAAAATAAACACATATTATAAAATTATTCACCTGTGTAATATGAAGATTAATGTTCGGAAAGTATTTCATAAAGAAATCTTTTTATTCTCTTGACATAGCTTTGGATGTCTGGCCACCAAAGTATGGAAGAGAACAGTAAACAATGTTTCTTTTATCAGGTTCTGGAATAACTTAACTGTATCACTTAAACACTAATTTCCTTATTTGGGTAGACACCAAACCAGAAGGAAATCCATTAAGCGAGAAGATATTGCACAAAAATTCAAATTTGGAGTGCATGGCAGAATATTGGCCAACCAGAGATTTGATAGTCAGTTAATTTTTAATTTCTTATTCTACTAAATATTTCAATCAATTTCTTATATATGATAATGCTGGTATCCAAGATAATTACTAGTCTACTTATAGGACTCAAAAATTAACTTGAAGAATGGCAACAAAAGATGTTCTCTTTTGCTGCTATGGCATGGTAAGGAATGTCAAGCAAGTACAAAAGCCACAGTTTAATAGTGTTTGAAGCATGTTTAAGTTGTATCAAAATGAACAAAAGCTAAAAAATTGGTGCTTAGGCTGGTGTAAGTTGATTTTTGGAAAACAAATGTTTGAAAACGGCCATTAGATTTAATAATACAGTATTGCAGTTGAGAAAGGACAAACTATTGTTTGATTCAAGTTCCAAAATAAGAAATGTGTCATCGGTGTATCTGTTATAGAATATTGGCTTAAAGTTAAGAGAACAATTGGTCAGCCAAGAAACCTTGTCAAAACACAAAAATATTTGCAAAAGTTGGGCTGAGGAGGAGACCCATGCCCAAACTGCCAATCTGTCTGTGAAACTTGCCAGCAAATATGAAAATTGAGTTTAAAACTGATGATTCCAGGAGAGATTTAAAAAAATGATGGTTCCAACCAGTAACAATATCATGAATATCTTCAAACAGTGATCAATTGTTTCACAAAGAGGTTGTATGATAGTTCAAAACTGGAACTAAAAATTTAGCCAGTTTAAAACTATGATTATTATGGTATATGTGGCAAAATTGAAATTTCAAGGCAAAACCAGACTTATGAATTTGAGGCAAGCCGTATCAAATCCCAGGGCCTAAACTGGAGGCATAAAGTTTAGAGTAAGTCTGATTTTTCCTCAAAGTTTCAACTATGGCCAATTTTTGCCGCACATAATAGTCCACGGTTTAAACTGGCTAAGTTTTTACTTCCAGTTTTAGTCTGTCCAAATTGTCATCAAACAATGAAAATAAATGATGAAATATGTGCTCTCTATTAATAGTTGTATTTGACAATTAATCCGATTTCTTAATCCTTTTAAGTTTAATTCATGTTGTAAGTACTTATGCTGTTGTTTTTTCTTCAGAGAATCCATTGATATTTATAAACTTCTTCAAACTATGATGTCAAATCAGGATTTGCATTCATTTTCCTATAAGTCCTTACATTCACATTCAAAGAAGAAGTTAATTTCTAAAAATGGGAAAAAACAACTGGACAACATTCAAGTTGAGAGTGACTTGGAATTTATTGAGGAGACTGCTGTAGAAGCTGCAAAATTGTCAAATTCATGGATATCTCTAGAAAATTCCATGGAAAAGATTTACATTGAAGATAAGCAACAGAAAGGAAATAATTCTCTACAAAAGCAGTGCAAAGTCAGTCTGGAGTTGAGTGCCTCTAACACTGACAATTCATCTAAAAGTGACTTGTATAAGCTAGGCTATGTGATTCCAGATAAAGAGACCATTACTTATTCAGCTAATAGTAACAAGTTTGCTATGGATTCTGATGACCCTGGTATTGTTTTTGTGTCAAGTCAAAGTTATGAAGACAGTAAACACAGTGACATTGTTGTAATTGACTCTGAATTAAGGCAGCAGTCATTTCATGTTGAAAAATCATCCCTGTATCCCAACCTATCTTCAACTGCAAATACAACAGATTCTTTCTGTGATTTAGCTGCTATTTCCTCCAGCCCTGAAAAAGATACTACATGGAAGCTGGTGCCAAGTGGAGCTCATGGCTTGTATTTTGATGCGTGTAAAAATTCTACTGATGAGAAAGCTCACTCCTTGTACCCATCTTCATTCTGTGCCAATGAAAGTCTCCTGTATCTGCAAAGTGACTCTGACACAAGCCTAGATGTGCCATCTAAATTTATTGAGAAAAATAATGTGATGCAAGAAAATGTGAAGTCTGAAGCACCTCAGTCAGATGTCCGCTACACAGAGAAACCTGTGCCACAACCTCCTCCTGAGATGGGTTTGCCTGATTTGACCAAGAAACAGTATTTTCCCCGCAGTAGTTCAGAAGAAGCTTCTGATTTGCAAAATACTGACACTTCTGCCATTGTGAAGAACAAAGTCCTGGGCTTATGGAACAATGTCAAGTATGGTATGTTTGCTGCTCCCTAAGATTTACTGAAGAAAGTGCAGAGATTGTGCATCCATTAATTTGTGATTAGAAATTTCTCTCTTATCTCTCATACTTTTTTCAGTTTAAACTAAGATCTCATTTGAAAGACATGAAAAGCAAAGATTTTATTTCTTATGTTAACAATTTACTGGCCTGTGATAATATTTTATTATTTGATAACTATGAATACTCCACTTTTGTCTGAAATTTTATTCTTTTAAATTCAAGTAACCCTAATGCCATTGGTTGAATGCATGAAAAATGTGATTAATTTTAATTGTTTTTATTTTACAGCTGGTTGGAATGTTGGGTTGAACACTAACTTCTCAAGAAGTCATCCAATTGTTCTTCTGGGGAGCACTTACTCTGTACATCCAATAAATAAGAATTTCAATTTTTCTAGTGGTGAGTGATTTGTGAATTGAATGTTATATTTTAGGTAATGTTTTCTGAATGCTTTATAATGAATGTAATTATGCAACTTGCATTACCTATTTGTGAAGCAAAGGATTGATTATGGATATTACAAAAATATTGACAGTAATTTTTTACTGTGAGTCAATCTTGACTTCAAGGGTTTATCTTATATTTTAGCTATTTAACCCCAACCAAGTTTAGCATTATTTGTGATGTAATTTTTTGCAGACTTGGTTCATATTAACCGTCAGAATTCAGTGAGCTTTCAAGAAGCTTTCCTTACCATCACATGGTTGACTTATCGCACCAAGCTTCCTCCAATCACCATCAACTTGAATGCACAGGAATCTCAAGAGGTGAAACCACACTCCAAAATGTCCCCAAAACATTTGAAACAAGTAAGCTCAAAACACAGGCCTCAAACTATAACATTCAAAGATGAATTCACTGCTTAAACTGTGTAGTTTTAATCTGATTCAAGGTTTTCCTGGTGATTTGTTAGCAAATTTTGGCATTGTTGATGAATGTTGAAGTGTTCCATTTGTTTTTCCGTACTTAAATATGCTAAAGTACATTATTGATTGATAAAAAATATATCTCAGTACTCACTGCAGTGAATGACAGCACATTTTCTCATCAACAAAAACGTGATGTCATGGACAGACAGACGGACGTGGCGAGCACAATAGAGCCTTTTTTGCATAAATGAGAAAATATGCTAAAAAGCACATTTTGTCTGTATTTTTTCGTTTATGAAACCTAATTAAATTGTTGCTATAACAGCAGGTGACGGACCCCGGTACTGCATCACCTCCACCTGCCGTAGAGCTGACATCAGACTGCGGTTGGGGCTGCACACTGCGCTGCACACAAATGATGCTCTGTCATGCAATACATAAGCATTTTTTAGGAGATGGTGTGTTTATTTTAAAAAAATAACATTATTTTTGTCTTGTAATTTCCTTTTCATCCTCTAATGTCATCATTGTTACTGTGAAAAATAATAATTATTATCATATAATTTTAAATTTGTATGTTCCCTTTCCATAAATGATATGTAGAAATATTTTTATAACAGTAATATCTAATTAGTAACACAGGATTTGTAAGGTTTTCTTTCATTACACTGTGCCACTACCTTCATCTATCCCAGACTGGGTGTATACACCGGATTCCTCTAGCATTGCCATGAAGGTGCACAGTCGTTTAGTGAGGTGGTTTGGTGACGGTAATGGCGAGGATGGAGTGTGTCCACTCTCACTGCACCAAATGCTCCAGTGCGGGTACGACAAGCTGGGCAAGATGCCAGGTGACTGGTATTCCCCCAGCAACGCTGCTGCTGCCATAAGGTTAGTTACCCTTTTATTTGCCGTCTTTGATATCTTCTAAAATGTTTAATGATATTTATATCAATAGGTATATCTCAACACTTACTGGCAAATTAAATTTGATTATGTTTAAGAAAGAGAGAGAAACCTTTTAAGTTTCAATTTGTGGTTGTTTCAAAGACTATTGGGATTTTAACAAAAATATATGAACTTTTTCCTCAATCTCTATTTTGACTTTGACAATGTGCTTCTCAGGATCAATCCAAGTGCAAAACTTGTCTCGATTAAACTTGTCTAATGTCAGGTTGGTTATTAACCCCGGTTTCCGAGTGGCCTAATTTTCTGCACGTAAGGGTTCTCAACTGGTCAGCTACGACTTGTCTGGCGTAGCCAGACAGTTGTTGTTTGGCGGTTGTCGTTTGGGTGCAGTATGCTCGGCGGCAGTCTGGTTGTAGACTCTTCTTGTTGTAGCTTATTTGCTCGGTGGTAACAAATCGGAGAATTTCGGAGATCAGTCTCACGAGTTCTTCATAGGTAAGGTATCCCGCAATTTAACTCGCAGAAACTCGGCGGTTCACTCGGTAAAGATCTTGATGGTTCGTTCTTCCGCATCAACTCGTTTCCACAATGCAGCGACCCTCAGTTTTGGTAGCGCCACAAAGACAAACACCACGGCCGGATGCCCCGAACTCCAGCACAGGACTGACTCCGCAGTCCAACTATTCGGCTTAAATACCCGCCGCCGCAACCCGCGTCGTGTCGCTCGACTTTTACCCTAGACGACCTGAGTTTCTCCCCTAAGTCCGAATTACCTATGCTTTGTGCATAGGTAATTCGGACTTTGTTTTATTATGATTTACCCTTGCTCTCTTATTCCTAATCAAATGGATTTTGGTTTAAGTATTTTGTATTAAAGTATTTATTTGCTGAAAATTTTGAGTGTTGTCTCGATTTTAACTCAATTACTAAAGTTTGAATGGAATTGAGTTCATTTTTATTTCTCTGATCTTGTAAACAGGGATTGCCACTCAATTATTTGAATTCATTTATATAAGTACTTATAGAATTGAAGTTTTAATCAATCGTAGATCAAGAAAAATATATTGCTGTTGACACTCGCTCACTCCAAGCAGTGTGAGTGAGCCACGTGATGAGGTCAAATTGTTGTCTAACTGTCATTCAAGAATTAAAATCAGACGACTATTTAAATAATTCACTTGATGAAACTTGAAGACTTGGCTGGTAGAAAATGCTAACTGCAAATTCTGTAGCTGCAAGGTGTGATAAAAAAAAATTCTGATGTTCCATGCCAATCTATGAAGTTTGTCATTTGCTGGAAATGTTTTCATGCAACGTAAACTGCTGTTTCGATCTCGTGTTCATGCTTTTTCAATTCCTATACAGCTTGAAACGTTTGCAATGTTCATTTAAATGGCATGGAGTTATTTTTATAATTATTTAATTATTTTATCTTAATTTCATTTAATTTTTTTAAACATGTTTTTGTTTTTAAGACTATATCCATGAAATGTGCAGGGATGCTGTTGATGCAGGCTCTCAGTACATGCCTGACCTTGAGCGAATCACAGTTTATTCAGTCGCCAACAACATCAGTGAGTCATAATTATTAAGTTAACTTTTATCATTGTTTACTTGACCATTTTTAGGCGTTCATACTTGTACATTCCTAATTGCCTCAAAGAACTGATTTGCCCAACTCATTTTTACCTAAGTTACTCTGTTATTATACATATATATCAGTTGTCCTTTGTTTAAATTTGATCTGGAAATTCAAAATATAATTCTTTTTTAACATGGTTATTTTTCATACTACTGTTTCAAACTGTGACGTTGTTTGCTCCTGAATTTTCATGCCGTTTGCATTCAATTCCAGTCTACATCCAAGACATCTTGGAGCAATGTTGGACGCCCTGTATATGCAAGATGGGCAAGATAGCCGAGTATGTGAAGCAACAGCCCCCCAAGCAACGCTCGTGCTGTCGCTCTGGCTCTTGCGATAATGCCTTACATTTCTCACTCCGATCTCAACAACTTGGAAGGCCTGGAAACTCTGCTTCAGCTGATATGCTAGCAACTTCTTTCAACGACACTACTGAAGGATTCCAAAGCTTCGTGCAAGTCGAGTCGCTACCGTGCGAGGTCGGCCCAATCTACTCAAATAGACCAACTTTCAAGGGGACTCATGTAAATGGGGATGTTATTCCCAATGGCGGCAGGCTGCATGCGCGCAACTTTTTTGGCCGCAGCTTAAGTGTTGATGAATCAGAGAACTACAACACGTCATTACCTCGGGAACTGTCAGACTCTGGGGGATCAGAAACATTCATGAACGAGTCTTTTTGTGAGCTTGACTACCCAGGCAGCAGTCCACTAGCCGCGACTCCCGCGCCTATGTATCCAAAGCCAAGTATCTCGCAAAAGTTTTTCAGCTCATATATGCCATTCAAATTCGGCAGCAAGAATGCTTCTGGTAAAAGCAAGAGTGATTACTGTAGCCCTGTCAGCGTGAGCACTACGTGCGGCAAGACACGGCAGGAATCCTTGCAGTGTGATACCATCGAACTTCTCTCTCCCATACTTGAACAGGTAAATGCTGGACCTAACGGTTTTTACCTGTATTTGACACACCATGAATCACGGACATACCATGTATCACGAAACAGGACATGAATCATGTATAGGACACGCCATGAATCACGAAAAGAGGAGATAAACTTTCTAGCTTATGTGAAATAGGTACAGCTCCCCGTATTATTCACAGGCGAAGTTTTTTCTAGTCTCACGTATATAGAAGATGTCTATCGTATCTATCAAAATCAAATAATTTATTTGAGGCCTCAGAGTACGTGCCTTTTTAGCTATTAGCATGCGCCGTTTAGACACCATATTTGTTATTTTTCTTAAATGTTAACCTAATTGAGCATAACTTAACTTTATTTCATGAAGTACTGGAATTCTTAAGACGAAATTCGTGTGTGCAGGAGCGACTATGCAGCGACTGCCACAGTTGGCGGTCTCTCGTTATCATCCTGGCAGTGCGGCTCGGCTGCGACGGCTTCAACAGCATCTACGAGCCCGTCATCACGGGGCTGCTCAGACACAGGCTCTGTATTGGCATGGTGGGCGGCAAGGCGAAGCGGGCTTTCTACTTCGTCGGTTATCAAGGTGACAAATTTCCAGCCGTTCTTGACCTTCTCATCATTATTTTTATGATGAAATGGAACTTTTATTGTGAATTTTATTGTTAAATGTTCTTGAACTTTGAATTACGATCAAGTTAATAAGTGATGTCACGCCTGAATAGCCACCGTGTTTTTCTTTGCTTCGAATTGATACAAATCGTACGGAAAACACTGAACAGCTGTGTGTCCTATTCAGACTTGTATGCTTTTATGAGCATATCAACACTCGTTACTGTTTGTGTGTTAGTCATTATTAATTTGATTTCCCAATATATTTGCCAATTAGCTATTACAAATATTTTCATCTTTGAAGTTATGATACAATGTTACTCCACTGAAACTCGAATTGTTGAGCTGATAAGCTAAACCCAATTATACAATTTTCCGTGAGTGCAGTACTTCTATATTTCCATATTGATCACAACCTTCACATCAGTGTAATATAAGATGCGTTCTGCAGAGGACCAGCTGTTGTACCTGGACCCACACGTGAGTCAGGACGCTGTGCCGTGCTCGTGGAGCACCGTGCCTGACGTGGCCGCTTACCACTGCGACACGCCGCGCAAGATGCCCATCTCGAGGCTGGAACCCTCCGCAACACTCGGCTTCTATTGCCATACTAGAGTCGACTTCGCTCAGCTCGTTGTTGATCTGCACAAGGTAAACAATTGCTGCTACTTCATCCTGCTTAGCCCTTGTCGGACTGCATAGAAACAACTCTACCTATACTTGGTACGATTTTAACGTTGGAAAGTTATGCAGTCTGACGAAGGGTACCGGTAATCTTCTGTTGATGAAAATATTTATATATTTTTAGATGTTTAAATTTTGGACAAGCTGTTCGCAGGTAGAGACATACTGGTGATAGTCAAGGTGATGACTAAGGTTGAATTTACCTTCCACCAATAAAATTCAAAAAACCATTGATCTGTTGTAATTCCAATTTTCTAAATTTTATGCTATTTTTTTTAACTTTCATTTTCTTCTGCTATTTCATGTTAAGAAGTAATAATGCTTGACTTCACAGAACGATATCTCAATTAAAACCCGTTCTATGTTTCCCGTATTCACACCAGGACGTTTTTCTTGCAAATCATTCCACTTCCACTCGTCCCAATCATTAGGCAATTTTTAATATTTTCTGTGTACTTACCGCAATTTGTCTTCACAACATTCATCTTGATTGCAATTTGCAAGAGAGCTGCCATTAGGATTTCACTGTCTATAACTTGTACGTTTGACATATATAATTACGTTTGACATATATTTTGTACGTTTGAACAGATGACTACCGTAAGAGAAGGTCGCCTCTCCTACCCATTGGTTGAAGTGAAAGCTGGCAGTCGACAGCAGCAGGAATCCATCTGGGCAGGAGAGCCTTGCATCCTAACGGACGTGGTCACGCTTGACGCAATCCCCGACAATACAATCAGGAAAAACAACGTTGTTTATACCGACAGACGTCCGAATATTCAAGGCGAACTTAATTTACGTACTGCAAAATCCTCTGGTGATTTTAAAAGTCATGGTCCTGCGCTCAATCCCATACCAAGTGCTGGAAAAAGTGAAGATTTTCAAATACTGGAGTAGTATCTTTCCAGTGCATCCCTTGTGGCTGGGAGATGTCTTCTTGTATGGTGTACTTATAGAATACCTCGTTCTCTTCTCTTCAAACATTTCTAGATGCAATAGGTTTTGTTTAATCGTGGCTTAGCCAAACAGTCGCTTAACACCGGATACACTGTGAAACATGTTTGACACCCGTGTTTATTTAAATTACTATATTTTGTAATGAAGCACTATGATGTTCAGCTGGCTATAGTCAAAACATGGACTTGGTCCGATTGTAAACGAATTGAAGAGGTAATTAGTTTAGTGCTTACTCGTGCTACATTTTATCGTTTTTTTCATACATTATTGAGAATAGTAACTAAATAGTCATTACTATATTTTATTTTCTTACTATAAAACTTAATTTGTGTTTAAATGTGCAAAAGCAATTATTTACTCTAATATTAATGTGATATTTTCGCGAATCCAAACTGACGTTGTGAGTTGCCCCTTCGAAGTAATGGTGATCTTGGTGTATGACATTTAATTTGATTCATGAAGAGAACAGTAGTGTACAATAGTCCCTTAACTGGTATATTATACTGTGTTTTATTTTAGATTAGTTTATAATCACTAACCACAGTATGGTGAGCACTTTGCGCCTTCGTTATTCGTTCTCTAGAAATGAAGCCTTATTATTCTTTTATTCTTTGGTGGAAAATGAAATTTCTCAAGATATCATTCCTGTGCATTGCGAGGTGCAGTTGTATACAATAATCTAAAGCTGCAATGCAACATATATTGTCCTAATTCTCATTGAAAGTAATTTGTTGATAAAATCACATTACTTCTGATTGGTAGCGCTTTATATAATTATTTTGCCTTTGATAATCCTTTTTTCTTTTTTATGTCCAGTATAAATTGTAATTCAAATGATAGTGGTCAGTCAACAACACCGTAATCGCCTGTACTATTCTAAGTGAAGTTTTCTCGCCATTTTCACGCGAGTTCTGCGCTCAACAAAAAAAAAATTAGTTGACCAGTTACCTATATCGCGAGCGTGTTTTATATACTAATTTATTGATTCGTAATATTTTGAAGAATTTTGTTACAACCCAGGATTTGTGGAAACTTATTATTAAATTTCAATTTTAGTTAACATTCAGCACCTAAACCCACTCCATCGAAATCTGTGTAATTATTAACCTGAGTCTGACTCATTTTTGTGTTAGACTTATTCCATATAGATTAATGTTAACGAAGCATAATGATTGTAATGTTTCTATAGTATCAAGATATATGAGTAAACAGAACAACCGTAGAGTGCATGCAGAGTTGTAATGTTACATTGCAATCTGGCAATTCTCTGACCCATATTATTCTATATTTAATGTTAACCTACCCACTTATCGCTATCGCAAGTCTTTCATCGTAAAAATAAGGTAATATGTGTTTGGTAGTGAACTGTTTAGTCTAGTGTGAATTTTGTGATGTCGAAATTAATCGATAATTTGTTGATTGTTTTCGAGTGCTGAAATAATGAGTGCTGAGTTCGCTGTAACCCCTCGGCGTTCGACGTCACAAAGAGTCATTCAAATGCTTGAGTTTTGTGCTGCAATGCCTGCTACACAGATTTCTTTAGCCGTGTCTGACCTCTGTCTCAGTCCTGTGGCAAAGCAAATGTAGCCAGGTTGGAATAAGTAGGCAGGCCTTTTTGGTACGTTATGCCTGACCTGCTAGTGGCTGACTTACGCAAGACAGAATGCGCTACTCATTTATAATGGATTAGTTTATATTCTTCTCGCTTTTGCCTTATTGTTTTCTGTTCTGCCTTAATGTTACTAAGCAATTCTTTCACTTTTATTTATTACTATTGCTAATAGATGCTAAGCTGCATCTAGTTCTCCAGAATCAACGCGCTGGTCATTAGAACTCGAGACTTTGCGCCATTTGTTGGTGAGGAACTTGCTGACAGGATAGCATTGAGATGCGTTTTTTGAAAGCGTGCATCAGTAATAACAAATTGCTTCTCTCTGTAAAAAAAATGAGTGGGTATACGCAGATACGGCATGTACGATTTGATCAATTTGCTGGTTTTACTGATGATTGCATTGCAAAAAATCTGCTTAGTTATTATATACTTTATGACCGTTTTTTTTACTTTTCTGTCAGTGAGAATGCTTGGTTTCCTGGATACTATAGTACCCCTAATTAATATCTATACCTATTTTTACCTTGAAAACAGTCAGGCCTGTCAGGGTATTCTCTCGTAACATCAATTATTTGTTTAACATGGCATGACATTATTTACCGGCTACCGAGCGGGCCGGCATCTGAATGCAGGTTATACCTCGCCCATTTAATTATTTTTGAATGAGTAGAGTTAGCAGTTATTGCTGTGTTATGCATCTTGATTACTTCATCTATAAAGAATACAATATTGGTTCATTCAAAACTTAATCAACTCCAGCGTAAATTAAAAGAATAGCTCAAACTAGGATCAGTCCCTGTGCGAGTTTATAAGAATCCGTGCTAGTGCCCTGAAGTTTGGTAGGAGAAACTCAAATTTCGTGCTAATCCTGAAGCTCCCTCAGCAACTTCGCTGCTCTATGGTTGAAAGCTAACATGCTTTAACTAACATCCTTTTTTTTTTTGCTTCAACGCTGTTCATGAATTATGTAACATAGTCTCTGTTTTGGTGTTATAACAATTGCTAACAGTTATATGGTTTTTAGGTTTAATTCGGAATAATCGTATAAATATTTTTGTGCGTTACTTCTATTCTATACATTGACAGAAATTTAGTGCTCCTGGTGTGTGAATCGTATTATTTTGAGTATAGATTTTTTAATATGTTGCTGCTTTGTTACCTTGGTCCAATATTCGAGTTCAAACTTATTATCACGTGAATTTAATCTCTGGTTTTCTTGCTAATAGTTAATGAACTTGTTCTTCAGAGGAGACTTCTGACGCGTGTCTGTGCTCGTCTGAAGTCCTATGGAATGTCGCGCTCCTAGGGTATTGTTCCTGAGCGCCCCACCGCTGAGCTCGCGGTGTCTGACTGCAGGACTCAGTTGTGGGGTTAAGTTATTATGTAGGTAGGATTCCTTACATTTCCCTTCTCTGTCTCTCTCGTGCGGGCGGCCGACGTCCCGTGTAAGCGACCTCTTGTTCGAGTGTCTTAGTTTCTGTTGCTTTGCACCTGTCCCTCCTTGTCACTTTGTCTCTTTTGAGATGCTAACGCTGCTTCTTTCGAGCCAGCTTCAGCGGCTGGACAATTAGACCTTCTGCTCCTTGTAGGTGATGATTAATTTGAGACTTTAAATAATTAAGACCTTCCGCCTCGCTAGCGATGTTATTTTTTGACATCCGGTGCGAAATAGCTTGATAGCTGAATTGCTAGTAAACCATTATACTACCAATACTACTACTACTACTGAACTTCATCTTTTGTTTCAGCTGAAATATTTTTATGAGTAAATAATCTGAGCTACGCAACCGAAAAATGTCATTTTTTCTACCGTGTTTGTGCGACATTTTGTGTTGAATCTTCTGTAAATGAATTTCGTACTGGAACGATGCGAGCTGTTGTTGAAAATTATTAGCAGTTACACCTTCGAAATACTGATTTTCAGGAAAATGTGTACCAGTCACCGTGTTTACTTTCACACATACTGTTTGACATTTGTGGTGATTTAATAGAGCATTTAATTTTCTAAGTGTAACACATTTTTTTTTCATTATCATAAGTAAGCAAATTGAATCGTGGTAGAATCGGGCACTAAGCCAAACGTTCTCATTCAAGGTTTTGACCAAAAGCCTGACGGCATTCATGCATCTTGATTGTTTCTTGGGTGGCACTGATTGATATGGTTAATGCATTGTTAAAAGAGAGCATTGTTGCATTTTGAAACTTGTAGGAAATTTGTGTGTAGAAACTGCATGTGTATAACTAACATTATTTTCAGTGTTATCAGCAGACAAATTACTGTGCAAATAATCACATCAGAATCTCCGTAGGAGATGTTTAATGGAAGTTAGAAATTACAATTGAAATTAAAACTATAATTAAATCTGTGTTATTATCCCTTTGAAAGTTATTTTATGTTTATACAGGTACAATATTCGAGCGATTGACTGAATACGGGTAGAATTCATCACTCAAGCCCATTCCATTCATCACTCAGTGATGCTTCCGCTACACCTACCTCGTTCGCTATATACCTCCTTACCCCTGTGGTTTATTACTTACCTCTTATTCAGTACACTTGTGATGATCAAGATCAAATCTCTTCTCAGTGGTTACAATATCAAAATATTACAGATTCATACTCACATCTCATTCTTTTTGGCGCTACCATAGCTCAATAACTCAACGCACTGGAGTCCTCCATACTACTTCTAATTTTGCATGTCATCAATTTATTTCTTCCACATTCTTACATACTATTTAAATTATAATCATATATTTAGAAAAAGATGTTTCTCCCTTATTTTAATGATAATCAACTTTTTTACTAGCAAATAAAGTCTTATGGGTCTATCTAAATAAAGTCTATCAAACTCACCATTGAGTTTGTATGTACATTGTGATATTTGTGCTACTTATTTACTCAGTTCAGACTTGATTTTTGTGTATTTTTTAATTTTATCAGAGGGAAATTAGCAATTAACATTGTATTTTTCTCGTCCAATGGCGTTCCGGGAGGAAGAGACTTATATAACCATTTTTAACGCACGAGGTCAAAATGACCTCACGCAGTGTTTTAATTAAGGTATTTCACAACTGCGGTGCTTCTTGTGTTAATTAAATTCTGATGTCGCTGAAGTGGCGAACGAATGATCCATCCAATGCCGCGGCGCGACGAATTCCGCGAATGCAGCTTGAAGTTACGTAACGTTTCTGATTGACCTATTTCTATAAACTTTTAAAAATATGTACATAATCTTTGCAAAAAAAAGAAACTTAGTAAAAAAATCATAACTGCGCATCCTATATTAACACTCGGCACCGAATGAGCGATACCCAGGTCCCTGTGATACAATTAGGTTGCTAAATGCTTTCATCTCCCAACCTATGTAATAGAGCGAGCTCGGAGTAGTCACGTTTGTGAATCGCTGATACTCTGCCTCCAGATCTCCACTCATAGTCTTAAAATGACAGTATCACACATTTTTTGCTTCAAACACGATTATNGGCTTGGTGGTGCACGGCAGGTGGTGGTCAAGGCCGGAAGAGGACAAAGCAGAGTGGTGCACGGCTGATTGGTGGATGTCCGGATAGATCCAAGGCGTTCGATTCAGGGCTTATTGGTGCACAAAATTGGTGGTGCACAGCTGCGCTCCCCTGAGCTGCACCTCAAGCAAACACTGTATTTATAGTGCTGGCAGCGAATTAGTTCCTATCTAATTTGTTAAAGAACTCCCCCACCCGCCCCCCTTTCATGATCTGTCGTGAAAGCATAAATCAACGTACAGAGATGGAAATGGTACCGTTGGATAGGGCAGAATGTCAGCTTTAAGACGAGACTAAAAACCGAAAAAGCCAAATCCGAACATTTTAGGGTATACACTTAGGTTGCTAACCTTAAGTGTTTTGGTCGTTATATATTAAATGTTTTGTTCGCCATATTAAATGTTTCGGTCATTATATATTAAATATTTCGCACGTCATATATTAAATATTTCGCACGTCATATATTAAATGTTTTGGTCGTTATATATTAAATGTTTTGGTCGTTTTTTAACGTTTCGGTCGTTACATTAAATGTTTTTGTCATTATATAGGCATAAATAGGCCACGATCGAAGGCATAAATCAGCGCACCGAAATATTGTTGGCGGCTTTGATGCGGGTTACGAACAACTGAGTTAGCATGAAACTATTTGATACGTCGTTGACTAGCTTTTACACTCTAAAGGTCTGATGATTAAGTAAACCATAGGAGGCTATGAGCCCATAATAAGTCAATTAAAAACTTGCTTACAAAAGGTTTAATACCATTTAAGTTTACATCTTGTGAACCTTCTCTAAGTAAAATCAGCTTGTGAATAGGCCTTTCGATTATTAGGCACCCTATCTTATTAATAGAGGAATCTTTGAACTTGGCAGCCTTAATCTTAGCGACTAACTCAGGCGTCGTCGTCGGGTTTTATTTCAAATATGTTCCCGAGAGGCCGCTGGTTGCGAGGTAGCTGGTTGTCGCTCACCTAGTCACCATGCAGGCTGCACGGAACGCGTGTCGGTTGTCCATTTTTGACGAGTTTACATTAACTTGGGGTATTCGCGTTGCCATCTCGTCCAAAGAAAATCTGCCAGGTACTGTACCTGCTTCCAACGCTTCTTTGAGTAGGCGTCACTCTTGCAAAAAAAAGTCTGGGTGGGAATGCAACGCCGGCATTCAAAAGATGTAAGTGATTGGGAGTCAGCGCCTCAGGTTCATCGGGATCATGGTTGAATTAATATTATATTAATTCAACCATGATCGGGATTGTCAGAGACTGGCGTCAGAGGACGGTTGTTGAAGATGGCCTCAACCTCGCACATCAACGTGCCGAATTCTTGGTCGTTAAATTTGATCATGTCCGTGTCATCGCCAATGGACGTGTCATCGCCCATGGACGTGTCAACGCCAATGGACATGTATGTCATCGCCCATTGATGTGTCATCGCCCATGGACGTGTCAACGCCAATGGACATGTCATCGCCCATTGATGTGTCATCGCCCATGTACGTGTCAACGCCAATGGACGTGTCATCGCCCATGGACGTGTCATCGCCCATGTACGTGTCTACGCCAATGGACGTGTCATCGCCCATGGACGTGTCATCGCCCATGGACGTGTCAGCGCCAATTGACATTAAATGTTTTGGTCGTTATATTAGAAGTTTTGGTCGTTATATGAAATTTTTTGGTCGCTATATTAAATGTTTTGGTCGTTACATGTTAAATGTTTAGTCGTTATGTATTAAATGTTCTGGTCATTATATATTAAATGTTTTGGTCGTTATATATTAAATGTTTTGATCGTTATATTAAATGTTTTGGTCGTGATATATTAAATGTTCTGGTCGTTATATATTAAATGTTTTGTTCGTTATATATTAAATGTTATGGTCGTTATATTAAATGTTTTGGTCGTTATATATTAAATGTTTTGGTCGTTATATTAAATGTTTTGGTCGCTATATATTAAATGTTTTGGTCTTTATATAAAATGTTTTGGTTGTTATATATTAAATGTTTTGGTCGTTATATATTAAATGCTTTGGTCGTGATATTAAATGTTTTGGTCGTTATATATTAAATTTTTTGGTCGTTATATTAAATGTTTTGGTCGTTATATATTAAATGTTTTGATCGTTATATAAAATGTTTTGGTTGTTATATATTAAATGTTTTGGTCGTTATATTGAATGTTTTGGTCGTTATATATTAAATGTTTTGGTCGTTATATTAAATGTTTTGGTCGTTATATATTAAATATTTTGGTCGTTATATTAAATGTTTTGGTCTTTATATATTAAATGTTTTGGGCGTTTATTAAATGTTTTGGTCGTTATATTAAATGTTTTGGTCGTTATATTAAATGTTTTGGTCGTTATATATTAAATGTTTCGGTCGTTATATTAAATGTTTTGGTCTTTATATATTAAATGTTTTGGGCGTTTATTAAATGTTTTGGTCTTTATATATTAAATGTTTTGGGCGTTTATTAAATGTTTTGGTCGTTATATTAAATGTTTTGGCCGTCATAATATTTGTTTTGGTCGTTTTATTAAATGTTTTGGTCAATAAATATTAAATGTTTTGGTGGTATTTTTAATGTTTCTGTTTTTTTTTTATGTTTCGGTCATTATATTAAATGTTTTTGTCGTTATATCAAATGTTTTGGTCGTTATATTAAATGTTATGGTCGTTATATATTAAATGCTTTGATCGTTATATTAAATGTTTTGGTCGTTATATTAAATGTTTTGGTCGTTGTATTAAATGTTTTGGTTTTTAAATATTAAATGTTTTGGTCGTTTCTTTAATGTTTCGTTCGTTATATTAAATGTTTTGGTC